TTTAATTTACAAATTAATAAATGCTGAAGAAATAAAATAATTGCTAATTGGTACAATTTTAAAATTTTTTTATTTTTTTATATTCTCAATTCTGTTAAAGATCTAACTTGAAGGTCACTTAAAAAAAAATGTTGGCTGCAAAAAGAATTTTATTCACGAAAATCATTTTTTTTTTTTTTTTTTTTCCTCCTTATGAATGTTAAGCCAAAAACGAAAAACATTTCTTTGGAAGGGTTAAAAAGTGGCAGGAAGTGATGGGGCAGGAAAGAGGAAGCCAGTAGTGCTTCAGACTTTATTATGTTGGAAAGAGGGTCAAATAAAGAAGACAATAGGGAAAGTGGGTATTAATAAACAGCAGGTCACTATTAGCTTGATTTGGCCTCTCTTTCTCTTGAACATCCAAAGAGCTTTGTAAAAAGGGGGGAAAAAAAAGATTTTTTTTTTTTTTTTTTTTTTTTTTTAAGATACTTTTAAAAAAAAAAGTGGGGTGTTGACAGGAGAACCACTCAGGAAATTAACTGGTTAAAAGCAAGATATCATGATCAAGGATCTAAACGAACTCCCTTTTTTAAGGGTTCCTTCACCATATTTTCTCTATTGTTCACTTAGTAACTTCTGAGCAGTTTGAATTGCTTCTCTGATCTGCTGATAATGTATAAGCAAAACATAATTCGGCAATAATCTGTTGGGTGTTAATTGGTAAAAAAGTGTAATTTTCTAGTGATAATAGTTGTTAAACAATCTGTGTACTTTGTCCCTTCAAAACATAGGCGATCATGGATCTTTACAACTTTATCTCCATTGTAATTCTTTGCAATGTTTTTTTTTTTTTTTACTATCCCTCCCACTGTTATGACATCTATTTATGTAAACACATTAAGTAGGTTACTCATTGTTTTTCTCCATCCCTCTTACTTTCAATATGACGTGTGAGTATCAAATTTTCCAAGCCTTTCCTTGTGTCCTAGATATTTCACTTGTCTTTCTAACTTTACTTTTTTAATACTTATTGCTTACATGCTCCATCTATGGTACTCATAATTGTCCAGCATTCACTGCCATATAAGAGAACTGATTTCATTGCAGTTCAGCCCTTTTCTTTTGTTTCTAATGAATTTTTTTTTAATGTTTAGTTTTTGGTGGAGCTCTTTTGCTATTCAAATGATCCTTTTGTATTCTAGTGTCACATTTTCTGTCTGTTAAAGCATTTCCAACATATTTAAACATCTGTATTTTATTGATGATGACATCACTAATTTGTAGCTCACCTCTTGGGCTGTTTCCCCAGTAGATAGCCATACATTGTCTTCTTACAATTGATAGTTAGTCCTTTCTTACTGCTTTCCTTTACTAGGTTAAAGCTGGAAACTACCAATGATGAAATCTGGTTTGTACCTTCTTTCTGGGATGCTAATCATTCTGTAAATTCAATTTCCACACAAAATTGTAATACTGAATTCCTTATGAATTGGTACTGTCTCCACAAAACGTACTCTTAAGTTTTAGAGCAACTTTGGACTAGGGAAGATGAAATATTTCGACAAATTTATTTGTATTTTAAAATGTTGATAACCAGTGCTATAATTACAAACATCAAAATAAGACATGAAATCTTGTCAGTTCTTTGATCCAAGTGCTAAATAGTTTGTTTTTTTTTATATACAGACTATTGTTATCTTATAACTCTTTCTAAAAGGTTTAGCTAGATATTTACCGAAGGTTACCTGGCTTGGCAAGCACCCAATGAAGACTGGAGAACAAACAGCTGAAACTTGATTTTTAATAATAAAAAAAAAGACAATATTCTGCATGTAAATAACTCCTTATCCCAGATATTCAAACTATATATATATATATATATATATATAATGTGTGTGTTTATATTTTGATCTGTAAACCTGGCAAGCCCAAGCATCAAACTGAAAGGAGTGGCGTAAGACATGTTTCATTAAGTTAAAGGGTTTTGAAGATAGCAGACTGAAGCATTGTGATCGGCTTCAAGCTCTGAAGCAGATACACCATCAAAATCTTGCTTTAACAAATTTCATCTGCCAGTGTGGCTTTGTTGCAGCAAGTCTGGGCTAGTATTGCATTTAGGGAAGCACAAATGAAATGTCTTTCCCTTACCTGATTTTCTCTCCAATAGCCCCTGCTAGCATGCATAAGTATAAAACGAAAGGCACCATCCAATGCTGACCCTCATTTATCATTCACGATAGTCCACCATATATTTATTTTAATTATGTGTTAAAAGAATTTGTCTTTTGTGTATGTGAATTGGTATGCGAGATTGTTTGTGAAAGAGTATGTGTGTATACTGGCAGTAGTAGCAGTACCCATAGTACAATTAGTAAGATTTAGCTGGTGACAATACAAGTTCTGATGTGTGTGTGTGTGTAAATTTTTTTAACACTAATATTCACCCAATGCAAGGCTCAAGAGTTGTGTAAGAAAAGGCAAGAATTGTAGTTCATTAGGTTATGTAGGAAAGACCAGACTTGAATAGGTCATTTTAATGAATGCTGGTAATAAAAATGAAAGGCTATAAAATATTTACAGGAATTGTATAGCTAGCAGACAGTTGAGCAATGTTGAAAATGAATAATTTGTAAGCTGTCAGCCAAAGGCTGAATAACTAAGATTTAATTATCAAAATTATAGAAACTAATAGGTTCAAAATGGGACCTAAAAATGAAGAATTAGCTTTCTCGATTATTGTTGATTAAATTTTATTTTATTTATTTATTTATTTATTTATTTTTTTTTTTTTTTATTTTTTAAATTTAATAATTTAAGAGGGAAAATATATTTTCATTAATTTCTATGTTTTATCCTAAAAATTGTCTTCAACTGATACAAAATAGGAAATCCTGTTTTTGAGGGCTGTCATTGGTCAAAAAATAGAAATGTGACAATTCTAATTTCTGTCTCTGGATTCTCTTTTTACACAGAAATGACAACTTCATTCATTTAGGAAAAATGCACAGTTTGTTGTACATTCCCAGATGTGAACTCTTTTATTACTGAGATATTAAAGTAACTCTAGTAAAAATTTTCCTGTTGGCATCTTGCAATGACTCCTGACTGATAACTATAAAGGCATATTGTTTTTATGTTATGAAAAAATAGGGTTTATGCAGAAATGTGTGCACACCTCATATTCATTGCTTTCCGAGTCAGCCTGCTACATACTTACTTGCTCTTTGTTTTTGTATTCTATATGCTGTTTCTCTTTAGAACATAAGTGGTCATGGGTCTCCACAACTTCCTATATCATGTGGCTCTTAGCTGTTTTCTGCTTTTAAGTCCATCTCCCTATTCTACCATCTATTCACAGATGCTCATCAGGTACATGGCTCACTGACTTCCTCTCTCTTGACCTCAACATGGCCTGTGAGGGTCAAGTTTTCCAAGCCCTTTTTCTTCATGTGTCCAAGGAATTTTTAGCTGTCTTCTGATTCTGAGTAGAAGAGTTTTCTCTGTTGCCATTTTCTTTCATTTTTTTGTTACTTATTTTGTCTATAGAATTCTCAGTATCCTTCTGTAGAACCACATTTCTGCTGTTTTAATTGTTTTCCTCCTCCGTCCTGAGTAAGATGATAAACTACATCCAACATCAAAGCCTCTGATCAGGAGGTTTTGTGGACTGTGGAAGCACCTCTTAATTGTTGTTCTCGGGTGCACCCTGACCCAAAGTGGTAGTACCCTGTTAGGGTCCCAGCTATGGGAAAATAGCTAACTGCCAGACTGGAGTCAAAACACTATGAAAGTGTTAAAAAAAAAAAAAAAAAAAAAAATAGGTTTTAATACCAGCAATATATTTTTTTGAAGGAAAAAAAAAAGTTAGCAGCAATACATTTTTACTTTTTTTTTTTTTTTTTTTTTTTTTTTTTCTGAGAGAGAGAAAAAAAAAATACCAGCAATAGAAATCTTGTCAGCATTAAATAACCCATTGTGGTTGATATGCGGTAAACCAAACCAAACCAAACCAAACCAAATCCTCCTCCTCTGTGTTCAGCATTCATTGCTATATAAGAGTAAGGATATCCACATCTCTTTATTTCTAATGAAATTTTTTCATTTTTCAATACTGTGCTTAGCTTTTAGAATGCATCTTTTACTATAGTCCAATGCATGTTCAGCTCTGTTATATTTTCCATCTTCTGTTAAAATGTTTCTCAGATATTTAAACTTCTCCCCTGCTTAATGTTTATATCTCCAATTTGCGGGCTTTCTCTCTTGCTGATATCCATACTTTGTCTTGTAATTTATGGTTTTTATATATATATATATATATATATATATATATATATTTCATTATTTTCTACCACCCTCTCTAGGAAATTATGTAGTTTCCTTTCCAACTGTGGCAAGCAAAACAGCCATCTGCGTATCTTATATTAAGATTGTCCACTTATAATAAATCCTCGTAGGGTCTTTTGTTTTCTTGGATAAGCATTGCTGTATTGGTTGAATAAATCTGGGGAGAAGACACATCCTTGTCTTGGACCCTTTTCTATTTTTTATGGTTACTTAATTCATTTTCTATCCAGATGCATTCAGTTTGTTCCCACTATAGTTCTGAATTATTCTTAACAAATTTTCCAAATTGAGTTTTCCTAGCAGTTCAAATAGATCTTTGTACCATTCCCTGTCAAATGTTTTTTTTTTTTTTTTTTTTTTTTATACTCATCAAATTTAACCTCATTCTGATTCCCTCCACATCAAACCTGTCTGCTGGATGTGGATGTTAACAAAAGCAAAATTAAAAATATATATGGCATCTTCTGTGCAGGGGTGCTTCAGCTCACAAAGCACATGCCAAAAATAAAATAAAATTTAAATGTTTGAGCCAATCATGAACATTGCTAAAACAAAACCCGACAAAAATACTGAGTTCTTGTTATTCTTCTTAAAAGGACCTACTTTGTGACCCTCAAGGCAGTTCCTAATGGCCTCTTGCTCGACCAACCTGATGCAAACTTTAATGTGAGGCCAGTATGCAACCAACCCCGCAATCTTCAGGATCACTCCTTTGCCCACATATGTCCTTTCCCTCGCCTATATCCTATCTTGATCCGATGATGTACATTGGTAATAAAGATAATTTTAATGTATCTTGTCTACTTTTCTTTCCACCTTGCGTATATAAGTTATGACATAAGATTTTGAAACGTTCTTTTTGGAATAAGTTTGCAATCTTTAGAATGACAGAAAAATTTAGGCAACATGCCTACAACTTTAAATTTTTGAGTAACTTGGATGTTTCAAGTCCTGCCTCTCATTACTATTTGTTACCTGTAAATACAAAATGAATTTAAATGGCCTCACATGTTGGCTTGTATTCTTTCCCTGTTACTCTGGGCGTGTTGACAGACAGAAAAATAAATTTGTCCTTATTGCACTGAAAATGTTTTTGGTTTCCCACTCAACTTGGTGATGCTATTGTTTGACAATCTTTAGTACAAGGAGATGCTATGAAAAGTTATCAGCCTGGCCAAGAAATTATTCAAGAAAAAGAAATTTGATATTTCATCTGATTTTGGGAAGTAGGTTGGACCAAGGACATTTCAGCACATGTTTATAAGTGAAAATTCACTTTATATATTTAAAAAAAAAAAAAAAAAAAATTCTCAAATTTCGATTCAACTCAACACTGCTTGAAAATATTTGAAGTGCAGACATGAAATATATCTTGTCAAGGTCTCCTTCAAAGGTATGTGATATTAATTGGCAGTAAAAGATGCCTATTATTCACCTTTCTAATAAAAGGTTTCATTTAGCACCCAGGCATTGTTCAGTTTACCCATTTTATCTCGGAAACCAATAAAAATACACACGCACAAAATGTTGTCTAAAAAGATTTTATTATTTTGTTGAAAAAATCTTGCATAATAAAAAGGTTTAAAAACCTATGATATAAATTAACGTCACATTGAAAGTGTGACTCACAAGTAAAACTAAATGCAGCCCCCCCCCCCATATCTGTTTTTTTTGTTTTTTTGTTTTTTATATAAAACACATCAGAATGAGATAAGAGGGAAAGAAAAAGAGAATGAATCTAGTTCGCTTGACTAATATATGCCAACATGAATATTTTTCAAGTCAGCTGTTTCACGTGGATGATTTGTTTCCAATCAGCATTCATTTTACTGCAATAGCAGAAAAGCATTCTGTATTGGACTGTGAAACCAGACTAACTGAATTGAGTAAAACTACCTGGAGATTAGTGCAATGGATTCAGAGACAAAGAAAATTAACAAAAATTGTGACAAAATAAAACCTCAGATTATTTTTTGAATAAGCCTACATAAGATTGTATAATGGCAGATTTAGTTTTTAAGACAATTTAGACAAATGCACAAAGAAAAAAATGGGTGCCTACTCAATGTTTAGAGTAATAAATTATACATACTTTGTGGTTTTCAACAATACAATAAAAAAAAAAAGATGTCCTGTCAACCATTAAAATAACCATGAAAATTACTTTGGTAAAAGAAAAAAAATGCTGCTAGATTAAAAATCCATTGATTCCTTAAATTATTTTGTTTACTTGTGAGTGAGATTCTGCATGTGCAGACACACATGATTATACTCTTTATTCCACACCATTCTTTTGAACTGGAGTAGAGGTTTAACCAGTGTTTCCAGTTTAGAATCAAGTTTCCAGTTTTTTCTAATGTCTGAAATTGTCTTTACTATTTAGTTATGTGTCCCTGCCCCTGAATAGGTTTGCCTATTGTCTGGTTCAGTCTTTTTGAACAGGAGTAGAGGTTTAACATTGGTTTCTCATTTAGGATTGGGTTTCCAGTTCTTTTATAAAGTTTTTTTTTTTTCTTTTCTCTTTCCTTTTGCTTCCAGTAGCCCCTTGCATCTTAGTGGCATTATCACCTTGCTTGGGGTAACTTGATTAAAAACATGCACACTGGCTGTGGTCAAAAGTTACCAACTCTATTTTGGGACGTAATTTCACATTGGGCGTTTCTTCCCTCTACACCGGTTTCTTGGTATTTATCGTTGTTCTCTTTCCTGTATCCACTTTGTTGTTCGTTCCACCTATCACAACTGTACACGTAGTATGATGTACCCTGCCAAAAGACCTCTCTCATATCTCCCCAATGTTTGCTTATAATCACTAGTCACCAATCACTTGCCTGGATGACAAACATACTATACATACAGGCACCTCAGAACGGAGCACTAACACACCTGGACGTCCCTCCTTGATTCCATGCTAACATTATACACAGTTGCTAATGAACCAATTTCTTGTGGGACAACAAAGAAGGGTATCTTTTGACAGGATGGCATACTCACCTTCCCAAATCGAAATCCTATATGCCAGACTAAGACAAACTGTCTTTCATCGAGAATAAGGCAATTCCCGTTCATCATTTCAGCTATTTGACTCTGGTTCCGGTTCACTGTCTGCTATGCTGGAAACCAATAACTCTTCATATGCCTCTAGACTGGGATACTGATCTACCCATGTACATGTGTGCAGTAGGAAATTCTCTGGTTACTTGGATTGACACCTGAGGTCAGAGGACACATTGGCCAAAATATTATAAGAAAGACTTAGTTCAAATATAAATATTACTATGAAGTTAGTCTCAAGGTTATCATGAGGGCCATTCATGAACAATTTGCTATTCCTTGAAAATCAGCATTCTAAAGGCTGGCATTTGACTCTGTCATAAACTGTAGAAACTCTGATGGCATGGGGAAATAAGTTTCTACTTCCTCTACTAGGCAAGCCCCTAATTTGTTCTTCCTGATAGCCTCTTGTAAGCAGACAGCTTCCATTTGACATGTCCTCTGTCATAAGACCAATGATCATTCACTTGAAAAACTAATTATGGTTCTGCAGATTGTCTTGTTTTGGGTAACAAGTAAAACAGGAATTGTTAAGTTTTACTGCAGACAGATTTCTCTTCATTCTACTCTCTTTAGAACCGACATTTTCTGCTCACATGACAATCCTAAATCTCTTCCTTTTTCTGTTTGTCCTGTTTCTTTTCTTTTTTTTTTGTCTTCCGAGAGTGAAAGAACACTACTTTAACAAGACAGTTCTTGGCTGCCTCCTCTGATAGAATGAAAGAAATCACGACAGTTCTTTAGAATTTGTGCCAATGCTTGTGCTTACTTTATTTTCTGTGACAACTGTTTGAAAATACTGAAACCGTCAACATAATGTCCTACATTAAAGAAATGTTTATACCAAACCACATAATACTTAAAATAGATCATCTACAAAGTGTAAAAGTATAAAATATCTGTAGTTGAAAGCATAAAATTGCATACAAAATATTTAGTTCACTATTAAATGACCCATAGAGGTGTTGATATGCTGCTTAACAAAAACGGGCAAATTTTTCTGTACTTGGTCTCTTAGCTTGAGTTTTTTTTTTTTTTTTTGTTTTTTTTTTTTTTTGACAGGTTTCAAAATAGCAAGCCTTCTTTTGAATTTTATTTTGTAATTGACTCTGAATTCTCCAGCTAAAATATCTGCCTGGTCTATGATCATGCAAACACCTTTTTATAACACACACTAATATATATATATATATAACAATTTATGCAAAGAATTAGCAATGTTAATATGATTAATGGTGAAATCACTTCTCTAGCCAGACTTAATGAGACATTAACTTACTATCAATTCCTATGAATATATACATATGATACTTATATTCAAGTTGTTGTCAGATGGAACACACATGCCAAGTATTTTTGGCAGTTTCAAATTGTCATCATCAGGGTGCAATTTTTGCTATACATTTGTAACTGTTGAAAGTACTTAGCATGTGTCTTCCACCTGACGGCAACAACTTCAATATAAGGATCTTATTCAAGGAATTGATAGTAAGTTAATGTCTCATTAAGTCTTGTTAGTTAAGTGATTTCACCATTAATCACATTAACATTGCCAATTAATTCATTTTATAAATTGTTTCTTTATGATATAAAATATAAGCTGCATACTGTCTGTCAGACAGACCTTTTTCGTCTTTTGAGCAGTAGAGCTTTATCATTTGGTTCCTTAAGTCTTTTCTTTAACCCCAGTAACCCTTGTTTTAGTGACATTATAACCTTGCTTGGGGTGAGATATATATATATATATATATATATATATATATAAACAGGACAAACTGGGTCCTATAGTCTTGGATGGCATCTGGTCTAGAAGGACAACTCTGAATTCAAAACCTGCGGAAGGTCGTTTGGGGACCTTGTGTCACGTCGTGCACCAGGTTTTTGTATTCAGCCCTTCAAAAAGTGTGGTTGGTTCTGCACAAAGCTTTCACCACTATAATCAAATCATATCTGCTGGTGTTTGGGCTGTTGGTACCTAGTTGCTTGACATTCGTACATCGAAAAACGACGGGAGAGTCCATTGTGTGTGTGTATGTTATGAAAATCAATGACAAAGTGGGAAAATCTTTTTGCATGTGTTTTGTCAGTGATGTTGATGTTACTACATATGTGCACAAAAGAGAGGGCACTGAAATTTTAAACCTTTTAACTTTTTCACACTTTGTCATTTATTTTCCTAACATTTTTTTGGTATATCAAAAAAAATGATTTATTAATATATATCTGAAGGTATAATCATTACTTGGGACATTTCTTCAAATCCTATCAGATGAGTTTTGAAACTTTTTATTCAAAAATTATTTTATTGGGTCTTCAGGGTTGGAATGTTTTAAATAAAATAAAAAAAAAAAAAAAAAGTGATAGTTTTGCTGTGGATTGAGCAGTGAATGAAACGGTGTGTTTTGTCTCTCTGGATTTATTCTCCCTATACAGCAAGACATCTTAATGAAACTAGATGACCTATCAGTATTTATTATCACCAGATATAACCTTAACAGCATAAGATATGCAGATGGCAGACACAGAAAGAATTCCCAGTCTAGGTAGTAAAGGAAGGACTTGCTGTTAAGTAAAAGCCATGGTTAGCAGCAAAAGACAATCCCAAAGTTAATTATTGGGGACCTCAGTATCAAGCGGTTTCAAGAATTTAGCAGCAATGTCAAGTGACCCTATTTAAGAAATACACATCCTTCGTAGGGACCTGGAAAATTTATATCTGCTAAATTTTCATACCTGAAATTTATGCAGTAATTTTTAAGTAAATAGCTTTTTTTTTCTAACTTTGAATAACCTGCAAAAGGTTGATAAGCTATAAAAACAAATTCATCAATTTTGAATTTTGTAACTTTTCATTGTAGATAACATTGTAAACCATCGCCAATTCTCCATAAGGAAGATCGCGTGTAAACATCTTTTGGTTTTAGAAGCAAGTGACATTCATACAGTATTTCTTTTTCAGAGAAATACTTTTTTTTTGTAGTCTGAATAAATTAAAAACAAATCACATCTAGCTACATGTTAATCATGTTGGGTTGTTGATAAAATATCAATGCTTCAATTTTTTTTTTTTAAAGAGAAAAATTTTCTCCATAAAAAAGACCAAATTTTCCACATTTCTAAGGCTGATGCTTATATGTATGGCTTTTTGTACTAGAAATGACCGTGTTATCTCCCCTCCCCCCAGTAGCATGGCCCACTTTATGATAAGTCAGGTCTTATGTGATCTACTGTTTGAAAAATGTTGCCCACGCCTGATTAAAATAATAATTCTTGTAGTAATGTTATGTATTTCACACACTCTTTACTAAATATCTTCATAACATTATCCCACTTGCTTGAACTGGTGATATCTGACATAATGCACTTTTAACACCTCCATTAGTGGGGGTTAAGAAATTTATTCTTTCATCCATTGTGTATGCTGCCATGCTGTGCAATAACTAATGTATGTTAGTGTGCTCAAGACATATTCTTAACTGCCACATATGATTAAGTTAGGATAATTGCAATTGGTTTAAAAAAAAAAGTTACTCAACTTGACACATTTTTTCTTATTTATCTATTTCCTTTCATTTTATTTATTTCCTACCCTTGGATTAGAAATTTGAGTTGTGGGTGATATCAGCCAAAGGTTAATTTCTAATTTGAGTAACACTTCATGATTTTGAAATTCTTAAGCTCTTAAGTGATATATTTCCTCATTGATAAACAAAACTCACTGATTAGTTTCTTATTTCAGAAAGTCTGGATAGAATTGAGATACGAAGGCTGAAAAAAAATAGCCAAGCAATTTTAACTCCTGTACACCACAAATTTCTCTCTCTCTCTCTCTCTCTCTCTCTCTCTCTCTCTCTATCTCTCTCTCTCTCTCTATCTCTCTCTCTCTATCTCTATCTCTCTCTCTCTCTCTATCTCTCTCTCTCTCTCTCTCTCTCTCTCTCTCTCTCTCTATCTCTATCTCTATCTATCTCTATCTCTATCTCTATCTCTCTCTCTATCTCTCTCTCTCTCTCTATCTCTATCTCTCTCTCTCTCTCTATCTCTCTCTCTCTATCTCTCTCTCTATCATGCATTTTTGCTGTTGATATAACTAGTTACCAACTTAATGTACATCCTTTGTATGTTTACAACAGATTGACTATTCACACTGATTGTATTTCTACTAGTGTAAACAACTTTTCACCCTTGCAAGAGTTGTACAAATAGAAATATTTGAATCCCCGTGGTGATCTGATTAAGACATTGCACAAAAGAAAATGGCTTTCAATAAACTGTTGAATGTCGCTTGCTCTTAATCGGTTAGATTCTTTCTTGAGGAGAAAGATTAAACACTCTGCCTATTTTATTTCTCGGGAAACAACCAAAATAAGATACATGTCTAAAAATGCCTCTTTTATATAATCTGTGCATAATTCTGCTAGAATAACAATGGTTGCAATCCACTTTTGCTGTTATAAGAGTTATGTGGAAGGTCACATATTATTGCATTGGTTGTGGTTGCTAAGTCCAAAGGTGGATGGTAATATAAACGTACAACTGAGACTTCACTCACCTTTCTACTAACTGCCTAATGACTGCTCCACATTTTGTTTCCTTTGTTTGCATTGGTATGCACCAAAAACTCGGAAAGTCCTTCTGCACATTCACGTGTAAATGAAAGATGAATGCAAACATCACGGCAAAAAGTGAGAACTTGAAGCTTGTTATTTGGATGGGGAGGTAGGTGATATTTGGGAGTACTTCTGCTCTGTTAGGGTAAAAGATTATCTCTTTCCTTTTTAACTCTTCCTCCTACAAACTCTCTGCCTATCTCAACATTATGGCAACATAAACAGGTGGCACTAGAACTATTCATGAATTGAATAAAGTGTTCAGTTACCTGATGTTTACCTGGTTTGACAGCCACCTGAAGAAGGCTGAAGAGCACAACTGCTGAAGCTTTAATATTTTTCTTTTGAGATCTGCAGTAATTTAACTTAAAATCTAAAAATTAATTTTCTTTTGTAGATCTTACTACAGGTACAAAATTAAAAAAAAAAAAAAAGTTATTAGCCTTTAACATTCTAGAGGTGATTGTTTGCAAAGCATTAATTTTATCCTGCAAGTGACTCGCATGTTTGAATTTTGCAGTTGTGTTGTCATATCCTGCTATGGCAACAGAAAATGACCAGAACTGAAATTAAGCAGTGTAATAGAGGAGCCTTGAATAACAATGCAGTCGAAAGGAAAGTAGTGAATAATGCAGGGTGTTAAAGGTCAATAGGAACAAAACATTCATTGAACTGTACCAAATAACAAAAACTCAACAGCAGCAACAGCTAAAATGAATATCCCATGTGACTCTAGGAGAAAATGACAGTCGACATTCCACATGACTTCAAATAAAAGGCTAGGAAAACCCCAATACTGGAAAGAGCAATAACATCTACTAGACTTGAGAGACCCATTTCCCTGAAAAATTTTTAAGATTTTATAAATTTCAGTTGACAGTAGTCCAAGCTGCTGAGTGTTTCCTTTTAAGGAAACAGCTAATATTTCCCCTTTTATCATGTCCTTGCTTGTGTTGGAAAAATACAAATGAAAGATCATATAAGTGATAAGAGGACCTTTCAGAACATGGCTGATCATAGCTCTCCGCAACATTCTTTTGTAATACTAAGCAGTTTTTGTTCCTTTATTATCGTTCGCTGTTCATGTTTTGCCTTCTAGTGGTGTAGAAACCCTATTTATTCAATGTGAATTTTCTATGTACCTTATCACTCTAACATGTCGGTAATCATGGCTCAACCTATCTTTGTCATTATTAGCAATGTTTGTCTTTTTAATATCCTTCTGCCATCCATTACTGAATTTTGTTAGGTGGGTTGCTTGAAGTTTTCCTCTGTCTCCCTTGCCTTCAATATATTATGTGACTATTAAATTCACTAAGCCCTCTTAGAAATTTCAAGTCTTTCAGATCATAAGTGTCCTTTTGTTTCCATTTTCCTTAAGACTTCCTTATTAATAACATATTCCATCCATGGTATTCTCAGCATCCTTCTGTAGAATCATGTTTGTTGTCTAAAATGTTTTTGCCTATTGCAATCTCTAGAGTTAAGGTATAAGCACAAAATTTTGGATTGCTGTATATACCCGTATAAACCTACTTCATGTATAGTGTGACCCTTGAACTTTGTGTAAAACCTGATTTTTTTTTTTTTTTTTTTTTTTTTTTTTGTCACTTAAATCTTGTAAAATGTGACCCCTAGCTTCTGAGCAATACTCATGTGCTTACTGTAGTCAAATATTGCAGTACGGGGCATCATCCTGGAAATACTTTGTAGCAAATAAATGGTCTTAATTTTTTTTTTTTTTTTTTTTTTTTTTCTACAAAGCTGCCCAAAGGGGCAAAAAAAAACATTTTCTGTAAAATGATACAAAGATTTAAATACCATACTTTAAAATCTAGGAAAATCTTGTATAAATGAGGAATTAATATGCCCCACTCAACTAAAATTTGCATATAGTGACTGATCAAATCTATGGTAAAATAGCTTACCTGTACTGTTATGGTTAACCAAAAATACTGTGAGAATATAGACCTATCAGTTAGGTTATGGTCCCTGAAAATGCATGAATTTTAACCCCCTCCAGAAACAATTTGCCTGTGTATAGTGCAACAGGTCACCAAAAATGCATGGTTTTTAACCTCTTAATAAAAAATTGTATAGTGTGACTGCTTATTTCTTAAATAAAAAAAACAACTTGACCTGTACTTGGGTAACTATGGAAAACTCCAAACACAGTCTTATATATATATATATATATATATATATATATATATATATATATATATATCTCTCTCTCTCACTCGCTCACTCTCACACACACATTGATAAATTTTATAACCATTACAAACTGTAAGTATGGTACACCCAGTGACGATTGAACTTGCTACAGTCATAAGTGATTTAACAAACAAGTTTGTTAATCATTACACTACTGTTATATTTGATAGTTTGGTAATTAGTGCACTATCCACATTTTGTACATAAAATTCGTCCAAATGCACTATTTTCTAGCTAATTTATTTTTCTTAAGACTTAAAGTATTATGTATAGAGGGAAGAATACTGAATAAGTTGGTTGCTAAGATGTTATAGTGAGTAATAATCCCCGAAATACCTCTCGTAAAATATGCCTTCTGTTAATGACTATTGTAAATAAGATTAAATAAGGCTTTTTTTTTTTTCTTTTTAAGCCCATTGTGTGTCTACAAGATGGTGGTAAATGAATCAACCTTTTAATTCCTGCACTATTCTACTTAAATTTTATGTATTTAGCATTTTCCCATCATGCTGAAAACAAATACTTAAATAATTTTTTTTTTTTTTCAATTAAAAGTATCAAAATTTAATAAAAATAAAAAGGTATTTGCAGCCTGATGTCACCTACTTAATAATGGTATTCCATTATGTTAACATGAGACATAATCACATTAATATTTTTCTGTTATAACAAATGGATCTCATTAGGGAAGATTTGAATGTTTGAATAATGAAGACATTTTGTTTTAAAAGGAGGTACTAAAAGTTCTTAGTCTGACCAAGAAAGGATTCACAAAAATAATTTTCTTAAAAGTATCTCCTCACAAATTATATATTTTTTTTTTTTTTTTTTATTTAATTATCCTTCTTGTATTCTTTTCAGGTTTTCATCTAAGTGGAACGGTCACAGAACCTGCCAATCCCTTGTATTCAGAACCAGAAAAAACATATAAAGTTTCTATAAGTTTTGATAGGTGAGTTTTTTTTTTTTTTTTTTTTTTTTTTTTTGAAAACCTTAAAAACACTGATCTAAATTGTTTAGTTTTAGCAGGGCTTGAACCCCGACTTCTGATACTTGTAGAAAATAGACCATTGAGGCAAACGTGATAGAATGTGGTGGGGAAATGAAATCTGTCTGTGTCAATCCCCAAGGTATAAAAACCATAATTTCAATGACACAGCCTACCAGGAATTTGAAACCAAATTATCAATTCTTGGGAATACCAGGTGCTTTAAGCTTTGGATGTGCAGGTGGTATAATGGATAGTGGCTCTGAATTTTTAATTCTTATTGTTTGTATTCACTTACCTACAAATATCTTTGGGAAAGGTATGAGTCCACCTCTTCTCACCCCAGCTATGGGTTAATTAGTAAGACTTGTCTTGCTAAACCATTATCTCGTCCTAACAAAAAATTCTTAACATCTAGAATTAATTTTCTGGCATGGATTGATAAGCTGTAGAAAAATGAATCTATCTAAAATTATATATATATAAGCATTCTCATTTAAGACATATTAATAAAGGAAAATGCATTCTGTTCCAGGTAGGAATCAAACCATCTAATCTAGTCTTAAGATTTCTTGAATGTACAGACTTACATAAACACTGTTTAATAAATAAAAATAAGGCATCTATTTCAAATACAATGTATGCACTATAATATTTTTAATAATAAAAAACATGTCTTAAAAAAAAATCCATTTAATTCTTTAGAAATTGTGTGTGTGTTAAATTTCCCAGAATAATTCTGAAGACAATTTGGATAACAAGACAATTGGAAAATATACTTGGTTATTGCTAATGTGGCAAGTTTAAAAGTGAAATGTTTTTAGTTACATTAAATTCAAGATATAAATAGAATGCTCCTGTGTAAGCCTCATTCTGGATATTAGTAACTTTTTTTTTTTTTTTTTTTTTTAAACTAAGAATTTAAAAAAGCTTACCAATATCCAGCAAAATGTTGGTCATCTTCCATTGCCTTCATATCCATGCTCATTGCCTCACTATGACAATAGTGAATGCTGGTCCTTATTTAATTTTTGAACCAGCCCAGACTAGTTTTAAATGGCTTGTCCGATGCCTCGTCCATCGAAGTGCCTGGTGTTTTGCTGCAGTAAATCAGCATAAATAGCTTGTATCCTCTCACAAATTATAGCCTTCATCATGGTATCTCCTGCAAGCTGCTTCTCTGTCAACCACACCATCAGCAGCTTCTGTATATTTTCATGGATAGATGTCTGTGTTTTGAAATTATTTGAATGCCTGTGGCTGGTGTTATAGCCTTTATCGAGTCTTTCTGCTTCAGTATAAAGCAGACGGTACTGCTTTGCCAAACTGACTACATGCATACCTTCATGTTGTTCCATGATTTTTTTTTTCTTTTAATTCAATGCACATCATCTGCTTCTTCTTCTCAGCACTTCATGCTCACTTTTTTCGAACCCATGGTTGTAAAAAAACAAACTTTTTGCAAAATAACTGCAAGCACAACACTGTTTACACTTTAAGCTAACCACTTAAAGTGAATGAGTGAGATGCATGATGCTGGGAAGATGTTGCAGCATTCACTATGGCATCCACTGCACCAACTAGTGGCGGGGTTATCTGAAGCTGTCTTGTAACCCAAATTTTAGATTTCAGCTGAAATCAAAAAAATCGGCGTAGAGATGGCTCGTATCTTGAAAAACTCCTTAGTTGGGACATTCATAACTTGAGGTACCATTGTATATATAAATGTTTGCAACCAACAGACAACTTGCTCAATGACCTATAAAAAAATTTTTTTTAAATTCCAAACTAAAAGAAAAAAAGACAAACAACCCAAAAGCAAACACATAGCCTGAGTATTCAATGCCGAGTACAGACATGGGCAACTTTTTTTGAGCATTAGGCCACGCTACTAAAAAGATTCAAGATAATTTTTTTGTAGTATGTACCTCAGCTACTTTCACTACAGAAGACCATTTACATAAGCATATATCTTAGAAATGGGAGGAAATTCCCTGGATCATCAAACACCTGAGAGAACATTGGTGGAAATATTGTGATAACAAAACTGAGTACAATAGACATAATATAAGAGCCACTCAAGTTAGAGGGTTACTGAACGAGGTTGTTGTAAGGGCATAAAAGGGTGTATTAAAAAGTGTCTATTATGAGGATATGCAGGATAAGTAATGGTTGGCCCTAAACTTGAACGGGTTAAGGTCATAGTGATTAGGGAAGCAACCTCTTGGAAATCTTTTCAATAAAGTAACATTTATTTGGGAAGAAGGTGACTTGCCACTGAAATATGAAAGGAATGACTATAGGGTATAGTTGGTCCTAACTGTGAACGTCTGATCTGGTGGAATTAAGAAATGTAGCTTGTCTGAACATTTTGCAATGAAAGTAGTGACGTAGTAAGGCAAGCAATGTTTTGTCTATGGGGAAAGAAGTTGTAAGGCAGGAAATAATTGATCCTCTACAAGGCTGTGTAAAAAGCTTTGAACTTTGTCAAGGCTGTAAAGTGAGGATTGCGTATCTGTAGCTCACATATGGTAGAAATAATCCATTTTGGGGTTTATATAGGTTCAGAGAAGCACTTTTGTTTAGTTATTATTTTATTTCCTTTATTTTTTGGTGTGTACACATTTCTTTCAGGGTCCCATCCAGAGACCTAAGGTTAGAAATGGCATCATGACATTTCCCACTGAGCAATTAAAAAAACAAAAAACAAAACACATGCACACACATATATATATATATATATATATATATATATATATATAGATAAAGCCCTTCATAAGGTGTGGGCTGTACTCATGTTAGTACTATTAGTACTGTTAGTATTGGTGGTGGTGAGTGGTAGTATAATTTTATTTTTATATTATTATCCTGCCTGCCATTTCCACCCAACAGACAAATATTGAAATACTTTTTTTTTTTTTTTTTAATGGAATAAAAGAACAGAAAGTTGGATCATGAGAAGAAATGGGGAAACGTTCAATCTTTTGTAAATTTTAGTTGAAGACCTGGTTTTATTTGACAGCATTGATTCTTTCCATTGATGGAAACCAGTCATTGTATGTCTGAAATAAAATAAAAATACAATGATAAATAAATTGCCAGACAGTTTAATCTTTCCCTTCCTCTTTTACTGGAATATTTAATCTGATACCAGCCTCCCTTCCGTTGATGAAGGGATTTATTTTGTCTGTTTTATAAATGATGAAAAAGTACAACTCCTGGTCTAGTTTTGCTGCAGAAATAAGGAAAGCGATAATCTTCTGAAGATTATAAAATTCCAAGACTTTAAGAAACTAGGTATGTTGTGCAAGATATATACACACACACACACACACACACACACACACACACACACACACACTTTATTTTAGAATATTACAGTGAAAACATGTCAAAATTGCTACAGAAATGCAATCATGTTTTGAAGTATATCAATGCATCTCATGAGGTGATTGTAAATTACTAGTGAGGGAACAATTTTAGATTTAAAAGCAAAATGCAGCCTCTTTTTATGAAAAAAACAGGAAAAAGTGGCATGGTTATAAGATTTGTGGGCTTTACTTGGGTCATATTCAGTTGGTTGATCTGTTAAATTTAAACTAAAGGAAGAAGCAAAAATTAAATTATTTATCATAAATGGGTCATGAACTGTAAATTTGCAAGTAAATCGCAGCACAGACTTTAAGCAGAAGTGGATGAAAATGGATACATATTTTATGTTAGACAATGTCATTTCCTAAGAAAAAAAAAATGAAGTGGTAATTTAACAAAAAGCTAGACAAATTATATGCTTTGTGAGTTTCGTATATAAAAAAATTGTACTAAATAGCTTCTTTCAGAAACCAGTAAATTAAATGTATAGACTTACCTGGTAAATTAATATGCAACTGTTAACTATTGCTCTACTTTGTATTGAGCCTTTTCTTAAATTAAATGTTACAAATGTTGAAATTGTACTCTATTCATTCTCATCTTACCTGGAGATTTTATATAAAATGTGTGTGTGTTTTGGGGAAACAATCCCTGTTGTACAAGTTTCCTTAAAAATGACTGACCAGGAACTGCGGTTAAGTTATTTTTTTCATTTCATTTTTCTTGTGTTCTTGAGTTTTTTCCTTTTCTGGATATAAATTATGTAGAAATAATAACATTTTGATTTTTCTATAAAAATCAAATTCACTGTAATTATAAGCAGATGAATCTTCCCTTACAAACTTTAAAAATATATACAACTCTAGTTGACAAAAACAAAAAAAAAGTTATCTATAAAAAAACTTGAAACTGCTAACCTTATCAACAATGACTCACCTGCAAGATCGAAATTACAGAGAACCAATAATATTTACAAATTTACATGTCCTTTAACCTTTACCTGCAGGTGACAATAGTTGCCATAGAATTCTCTCCCTTTGATACTCTACGTGCATTGTCACCTTAGACGGTTGCTATAAATAAACACTTTTCAACTGTTATTTCTGGTATTTTAAGCTGGAAATCACCTACTACTACTTTGGAACTAACTTCAGTTTTCCAACAACATTTTAAATTCTAAACACAAAGAAACATGTCACTTTTTTTGATGAAATGAAAGCCTTTTTAGTGATTTTGCTTTTTATTGCACCTCAGAACTTCACACAAGGAGTAGTAAAAGATAAAATAGGTTGAATTATTTATGTATTTTTTTTTTTTTTTTTTTTTTTTTTTTTTTCTTGCATTTCAATTTTTTATTTTCAACATCAAAACATGCATGTAAAACGTAATGCATTACATTAAAATATTACTCATTCAGTCTTTTATTAGTGTACAAAAATTAAAATCTATATGCACAATACAAAAAGTTATAACAATTTTAAAACGGGTGTTAATGTTTTTGCACACTCAAAAAAAAATAAAAAATAAAAAGCATTGGCAGGTGAGACAACTTTAAACAGAAATTAGCATGGTAAAGGTTAAGGAACGGTGTT